TTTACGTGCGATTAGCGATGGAGAGAGAGAGAGAGAGAGAGAGAGAGAGAGAGAGAGAGAGAGAGAGGAAAGAGCAGCGCAGAAAGAGGCCGGAGAGGAACGAACGTGGGCTTGGCTAATTAGCTGGTTAATGAGGTTAAGCCACGGACCGGAAGTGCAACGTCCTGCGGTTCTCTCTCTTTCTGTGTCATCTCCTACGTGCACGCGCGTGTGGTCGAGCAGCAGTGAAAAGAGAGAGAAAACACACGTAAATGTCTGTGGAGGATTATTGAAGTTGTCGTTCGCGTCGATTCCTTTCATGGAGGTGGGTTGGGGAGGAGCTGTTGACCGTGAAATCGGCTCTCTTGGAGACGGCCGGAGGTCACTTTGGGTGCGAACGAAAACACCTCGAATCCGCCCAGAAGATTGTTTTCTCGATGCTGCTATACTTGTACTCGAGGAAAATCGGTTTGGTTCTCGCTTCGAAATTCCCCGCAACGTCGAGCCATTGTTGCCAAGGGGGCCTCCTCGTGCACTATCTATTCCGCGCGTGTACACGTAACACATAAAATAGACCGCGAATGATTTATTTCTCCAATTATTGCCCCGATCTGTACACCTTTAATTTCGCAACGGCGCGCTTTCGATGATTAGCTTCGGCGTGTATAGGTATCCCCCGAAATGCCCCTCGCGTTCACCGACGGAGAGAAAACGCAATTCGTGTTTTTACGCGCCGCAATGGTACTCTCGATCTCGCTTGGCTTTGGGAGGGGGAGGGAAAAAAAAATAAAGGATAAAGGCGTGTATCCGCTTTTCCGAGGCCCCCCGAAACGTCATTATACAACCGCGATCGCTATCGCTAATGAAATATATACACGTAAAGTGCCTCCCGATTCGTGCTGTATACGGCCGATTAATCTGCCCCAAGAAAGAGAAAAACCACTCATTTTCGCACACCGCAGAGCGTATAAATATGTACGCGTATGAAATCTCGCGTGCGAGTTTTGCGCGGATTATCGAGCAAAAACGATCCGAGGCGGTACAGTTGTTCATTCCGCGCCTTAGACTATACAGGTATATATATGTAGTATCGGTACACGCGCTCGTTGCGCCGATTCGAGGATCGAGCTCCATTCGTTTTTACGCAAGTGCCCTCTGTTGTTTTTTTTCTCAACGATAATTAATGAACTGTAAAAAAAGGGGTGGGGTAGTGAATTTTTTTTGCTCTCGAGTAAACGACGATGCACATTACGGTGCCACCGACGTTCGACAAAGTGCTCAGAGCCACACAAGTGTAGGTATACACCAAAGTTCGCTGGTCCGTCCAAGGTTGCAACATATAGGAGCATAATAATCGCAAAAGAGAGCACGAACCTTGTGCCACATAATAACAATATAAATATGCCCACGGTATACGTGTGTAGGTATACAACGTATACGCCACGTGTAAGGGGGTCTCCTCTCTCGGACACACCCATAACAAGTACAAGAGCCGCGCAAGTTGAAACGCTTGATTATCGGGAGCAGAGCGCGTGTACAGCCGGCCAATATAATTTATCGCGACGTTCATTGTTGTAATGTTGCTACACGTGCACGCGCTCGACTTTTTTCAATCTAATTCTTAAAATCGAGAGTACTCTCTCTCTCTCTCTTTTTATCTGTATAACTAACCAAGTGCACGTGAGACCTGGAACGTTAGTCCGATAGAGTTAGAAAGATGTATAAATAAAAACTGACCGCGATTGCTGCCCATTGCAAATATATACGGTTATCGGTGAGAGAAACCATATGTAGAAAGGAACCGTGATAACACATCCGGTGGGGACGACCAGATTTATTTGTTTTGTTCGCTAATTACTGACCGGTATCTTTTACGCTCAATCTTGGGACTTTTTTGTCTCCAGCCACAGCGCTCATATCTGCAAGTTATTTTTGCAAGTTACGTACTATCTCCTTTCTGCTAGAGACGTATGTAAACATGCAAATTTTCAAGCAAAAAAATTAAAGGGCGTAGAGGTTCCATTTACTTTGAAACAAATGTTCCACGCGACGGGAGAGAAGATGAATCTCATCGACGCATCTCCCGAGTGTCGGTGGCAAATGCGCTTACATCTCGCTACCATACGCATCAGCATAAGTAGCTCTGCCTTTTGTCCTTCCCTCCTCTATTGTACACACGAAAGCCAACCTACCTCCGGAGTTCAGCTTTGTACACGCGCTACCGGTTTTGAGAGAGAGACCGGTTTGTAACGTAGGTATATATCTATTTGTCTCCGGTTCTTTCCACTCTACTTACCGCCTCTTCCGGTTTGCCTATTTTTCGTCCTCCCTCCAAACAACGGCTCGGCACTTTCTCGATGACAGCAGCCACGCCGCGCGTGTGTATGGGCTACAATGTAAATTAATGCAGGCTGTCGGGCGATACTTATCTCCTTCTTCGCGCTGCCGAGGGATTTGCGTGCGTCGCGTGCAGTGGCCGGCCACCGCAATTTCGCGAAACGAGGGAGGAGAGACTTTCGTCGTGTGTCCTCGTTCGGGCTCTTGATAATCGTACGTCGATGGCTTGAAAAATCCCTCGCGAGTGCGCTTGTTGCCCCCTTTCCCCCCCCCCCTTCCGAAACATTATATCGGTATACTTGTTCTTGTTGCGCCAAACAATTTCATCAACGCGCGCGTACGCATACTATCGGCCAAATGTGCGTTCATTACGTCATGTAACGGGTAACACGAGGGGAACGAATATTTTCACCTCGTAAAAGCCGATTGCGTAAAAAAAAATGTAAGGTTTGTAAACGCAACCGGTTTCTCGATGATAAACACTTCAATTAAATATCAATTATCCGATTTTTTTTTTTTTTTTTTAATCGGTATCTCGTTTACGGCTCGCAAAGCCTTTTTTTTTTTTTTTTTTTAATCGGTATCTCGTTTACGGCTCGCAAAGCCAAAGTAGCACCCTTGGGATGAAAAAAAAAAAATCAGCCACTCGGATAACGCGTGTATTTCCGATACGAGCTGGTTGTTGTTGTTTTTTTCCTTTCCTTTCACTCGCGTACGCGATATTTATTACACGTGTCGCTGCGGGCGAAAATCGTCATTTCGCAGCTCGCGGTAACTCGAAGCACAATTATTTCCTACTCTCGAGACGGAACGCTTCGATACACTCTCCAATTACCAATTTAGATTGGAAACTACCGTTTTTGCAAAGACACCGCGTGGAGAGAAAAGAAAAAACAAAAAAACAAAAGAAGGAAAGCAACGAGAGAAAATTAATTTCGCAAAAATCAAAAACCTACTCCTTTGCAATACACGCGTTGCCGCCGCGCTCGTTAAATTACCGCGATTGCGCAACCCCTCGTGCGCGAGCCGGGCACCATTTACAACGTTATTTACAAGTGTACGCGCGTAACTTCAGCGTGGCCTATTACGTGGTGTGGTAGAGGCAGAGATGCCGCGCATTTTTCCCACGTGATGATGATGCTACACACGGGCTCTAATCGAAGCAGCAAAGAGTGCCGGAAAATTCTCTCCCTTGCCCGTTGATTTACGCTCGTAAGTTATGAAAGGGGGAGAAAAAAGTTAGCTCATAGTAGCCAGTCAAATATTCGCTTCCGTGTGTGTCTTCCAAGCCAAGAACCACTTCGGAGATGTACGGAGCTTTGGATTAATAGATTTTTATCATTGCGTCTGGTGAAAAATCGGTCAATCCTCGGTCTGGTCGATTTTACTCACGGCTAATTACTGCCAGCTGTTTGGTATAGTCACACGTGTGTAAAAAAAGAATAAATGAGTTTCGCGGAATCTCGCGTTGTTGTAAGTACAATAAAATTCAATGGCATTTTTTCCCTCGAATTCCCAACTACAGCGAAAGTTGGCCTTTATGCGTGTTACCAATTATTGTCGCACCCATACCATATCGAGGGGGGAAGAAGAAGAGAAACAACAGCGAAAGATGACTGTAAGAAAGGGACGGAGAGAAGATGAACTTATCTCTCGTTTCCCGGAATAACTCGGAGAGTGTCTGCGTGCCCGATGTATATCTTCTGCTGCGCGTTGCGTAAGTACAGCCACTTAAGATCAGCCCGTGCGTTTATGTAAGTAACATGTACCTACTTACGCTTCGACGATCGGAAAGGTTGGGGGGGGGGGGCTGAAATACGGGGATATTCGTGGCTCGTGATAAAATTGGAAATGCGCGCCAATTGCTCGCACGCGAGCGCCTTACCGTAATTGACTGTTTCTACTTAAAAAGCCCTTTTCGGACGCTGCACTCTACGCAATCGAGTGCTACGTATAGGTATTTACGCCCTTTTTGGGTCAAGTCGAGATAATAATAACAAAAAATATGTAATATCCAAAGATAAAATAAAAAAAGGCACTTTTGTCGCAAAAAGAGAGCCACGCATTCGTAGTCCATCAGGAAGTGCGGTGGTCTCGTGTACAGCGCGTGCGACGGGGAAACCCGTGCGCTTAAGTACAAAAAGCCTCTCCTCTTTCGGACCGATTTGAATCTTGATTTACCGAACGATCACGGGAGCAACAGAGGCCTTCCCAGCTCTCGTGGTTTCCGCGCTTCGACTGATTTATGACGATTGCGTTTCAACTCCGAGAAGAAGCCGAACAAAAAAAAATACAAATAAAAAACATAAAATAGGAGGAGGAGGAGACTGGACCCTTAGGGAGGATTTAGAACCGGCGATTCTCGGTAGTCCGCTGTGTTGCGCCTAGTTGCGCCGTTTGTTTCGACCCCCCCCTTGCTTCCCTTCTCATCTTCTCGGGTCTCCTAACGATGTCGTTATGGAGACGAGCTGGTGCTCTTAGATCTTGTACCGTAACGCGTGTATTTTTCGTTGGGTAATGATTTTTATTTTTTTATCCCAGATGAAGCAGTACACAGTTACTTTTTTCTTTACATCCACATTAATTGTTGTGGAAAATAAAAAAAAAAATAAAAAAATGTGATGTTGGTGGCGATGCGTCGACAACGAGAATGAGCTAATCGTTGTGTATTTTTGCTGTTGCAGGCGGTGAAGCTGGAATCGGTTCACCCGGGCCGCACGCGCTACTTGGTGGTGGTGTCGTGCACGGGACGCCAGGACGCCGAGGAGAGCTGCCTACTCGGGATCGACTGCAACGACCGCGCCACCGTCGGACTGGTCCTGCGAGTACTCGCCGACACTGCCATCACTCTGGACGGCGATGGGTGAGTTTTTTCATTTTTTTTCTTTTCTTTTTTCTTCCCCACGTGCTCGTACGAAGACTCGTGCAACGGTGTGCAGGAAGTCGTTGAGGACTATCTGCCCGAGATTACATAAATTTAAATGGATCTCCGGTACTCCGGTCGGGCAATTAATCGCCAGATTGAGGGTTTGCTGCAAGATATCACGAGACTCGTCATTTTTTCTGCTTCTTTTGGAGTAACGGCCAACTTATTAACCGACAGAGCGAATGGAGATTACTTCGCGATACACAGGTGTATGGAGATCTACTCTCATCATTTTTAACCCTTTTTTTTTTCTCTCCGTATACCCATGTAAACCGCATTTTTTTTTTCTTTCAATTTAACGGTAATTATAAGTAAAGTAAATATAATAATATTGGAAATAACTATTATCTGGAAATGATAATCAAACACGCTGGGGTACAAGAAAACTTGGCGATCCCGCACACTGGATAAGCAAAAAATGAGAGAAAAAAAAATAGTAGTCGGCAGCAGGCGACGTTTTTGGTTCAATAGCCGTATCGTCGGAAGTGTAGCGCACTCGTGCGGTTTAATTGCACACCCCGTCAACATACATAGGCGAGCGTGCGCTCGCGTGACGGCCACTGTAGGCAATTACCGCCGAGACTTTTCGCGACAGCGGCCCGGAATGGCCCTTTTTTTTATCTCTCTCCTTTCTCTTCGACGGTAGCCGCGGGGACGCGTGTTTGACGCTGCATATACACACCCACGCGGGCGATCGGGAAACCGCGATAAGCCGCACGTGATAAAATTTCCGGGATCCCCGTAATGGCTCGCTCCCTCCCTCCGAAGGCATTATACGTACCGTACGTTAAATATATGCAGATTTTGGGTAAGAGATATTACGCCACGGGGGGGAGCTATTACGTTTGGTATACATTATTCGGTTTGGATTTTTTTTTTCACCGATGTCACTCGACCGTGAAAAAAAAAAAAAACAATTTTTTAGTCTCCTTTCGTACGGATGAGGAGTACGGAAGTTAATACCATCCCTGTTGAGTATATCGGTACTGGATTAGCAGGATGGAGTCTCCACAGATTCGAAACATCGACAATCAGACATGAGTATATTTCCAAACCGAAGCTCCGAGATGTGCACGTCACACTTTCGTTGCTTTCTCCCTTTTGCCTCTCGATTTTCCCGTGCAGATACAGAAGCTCTCGACGAGCGTTTTCAATCTTATTCGCGAAAAGTCATACTTGCCCCTGCGTACACCTACTGGCTTACAAAGCATCGGAAAATCCGGAGGCACCGGTATACCGATCGCCAATCATCGTCAGCTACTACAGATACTCACCGCTGTTGGCCGATAGAAAGTTACACTTTATGGTCAATTGCGCCGTATCTGCTTTTGCTTTCGTTAGTTTGCGGCCTTTTGGACGTTTTAATGGCCATTATCGCGCGCTCGTGCACCTCAGCGTCCGATCGACGGGGGGAGATTTAGTTGCTTTTTTACATCGGCTGTGGCTTTACGACTGCGAACCACGGTATAATACACTTTTTCCTCTCACACGTGTGCACGTATAGCAAACGCTTTGCAATAAATTTTCGATTCGGTATTAATTAAGTTTGATACACACGAGGGGAACGAGCCGCGTGAATCGTGGGACGATTTTACACTTGCCCTTTTTTTTGTAAAGCAGACCTTACAATTACCGTGTATCAATGACCCGGAAGGAAGAAGCGCTTTCGCAAACGTCTAATGAAATAGACATTACGCGTAACAGCGGGTTATGAATCTCTCAACGTAATCCAATTCAAGATAAGTTTACACCGATTGTCGGACAATCCTTTGAAACGGCCGATCCGAAATAATACCCGAATCGCCAAAATTGAGCTTCATTAGCATTGAAAAGGGCTTTTTACGCAATCACATTTCACACACAGAAGCCTCAAACAAAAAAAAACAAAAAAAACAAAAAATCCTCACAGACATCAGAGGCAACGCAACGCCACAGCACTTAACCACTTGAGGGGCAGATAGACTCGAGAGAAAGAGAGTCTGAATTCGCTTCCGCGTGTAGTACGTAAATGTACACAGCTTGGACGCACAGTTTGCGCAACACGCGCGAGCGAAGCAACAGCACAATGTGTATTATGATCCTAATGGAAGCCGAGCAGCGCCGATTAGAAAATTGAAAATCATCCGCACGGAGCTAGTGGCGGCGCACACTCTCCGTTTCGAAGACGATGAATCAGCGCGGGAGGCCTTTCTCCCTCCGGCTGCCGCTTTTTCGCGATCGAGGATGCAAGTCATTATGGAGACGACGCGCGACGGGCGAGTTGTCTCGGGGACATTACACACGAAAACCGCTCTGCTTCCTCCATTCTCTCGTCTTAATTGCCGGCTCAAGTGCGCTGGAAGACTAGTACAGTTGCGTAATGCTTGTTCCAACGTGTGTGGGTATATACCGTTGCTTCATTGTCGCGATTATTATTCCAAACTGCGAGTCTCTCATAATTCACGGAATGTGTACCTTTTTTGGGAGGGGCCTCGAGGTGTAATTCACCCGTGGCCGAGGCACGTGTATATATAATTACAGGACGAAGGGGGAATATTAAAAACGTTGCTGTTTCCACGTGCTGTAAAATTTTGATGCCCATCAGGGTGTAAATATTATACGTATGTGCACAGACCGGATGATTGGATTGTCAATGTTTGACGAGTCGCTGCCGGGATGAATTCTCGCGGTGCCGATTAAGGCTCATTAAAATCAACAGAGCCCCGGAGTACCGGTGTAATTTACGTATCAATAAGCCGACAATGATTATTTTATTACTTCGCAAATGGACGGAATGTAATCGTTTAATCGCCGTTAAAAAAAAAAGAAAAAAAGTCCAACCTTCGTTTGTTGTAAAATTAATGTCAACGTATCTCGGGTTGTTACGTAATTGCACGCTCAAAATGAAAGAAAAAAAGAAAGAAATCAGCGAAATGGCTCTTAAACCTTTATTTCGCTCTCCGTCGCACAAAGCGATGTCATTAAAATCCCCGAAGCGCGGGATTTTCTTTTACCAAAGAGTCATTAAAGAATACATCGCTCGGTCCATAATTTCCACAGGACCGTTGGGAGAGGGTAAAAATAATTCTTCTCTCGCTTTTTTTCACCTTCGGAGAATCATTTTTTTGTTGTTGTTGTTGTTGTTCCTTTATCCTTCTTTCTCCGGAATTTCGTGCGCGCGCGCAAAGAAGAAAATAAGCGCCCAAAGCGCACGTACAGCTATGACGGAGTAGCGCGCACTCGCTTTGTCGACACCGCTACTTGACCTATGGGTTAAAATTCGCAAGGGCCGCGGATTTTCTTTTGTCACACACGCGACAATGGACGCACGCGAGCCTTCATTACACTCGCACGCGCTCGTTCCTGGAAAAAATTACTGTGGGAAAAATCGGAGAACTCAAAGCCCCGTCTACTCGTTTTTTTTTTAAATTTTTTTGTTTCCACAACCACACACGTAACCCATTGCCGTATATATTCGCTATCGAGAAAAAGAAATTAGTGTATTTTGGTAATCGGACGATCGTCCACCGCAAACGTATATAGTACAGAGCGGAGATAAGATGGAGGTATAAACAGTCGCGAAAAAGCAACACGCCGCGTCTATAGTCGTAGAAGCGAGAGTCAGCCGGATGAAATACGAGACGCGCACGGTACAGCTCTGCCTGATATACTCGCTCGCCGCCTCGAAACAATGACTTGAACAATAACAACAACAATGATGATGCTGATGATGAGAAATTCGAGATTCTATAGCCAGCCGATTGAAAATAAGCGGGCCATCGGCAGCTAATGCAAGTGCAAATTTACTTTCCACGCTGTACTTACTCTGTTGTAAGAGAAGGACAATTTCGAGATGTTCCCTAATACAATCGAATCCGTGGATCGAAATCAATTGGAGAGGCGCTCGCAATTTCGACGTCGCGTGCACAGTACGCCAATGATAGAACACGCGCCGGCATACATTAGCGTCGCCTAATATTTTTCTTTGTTTCTCGTTTTTTTACAATATTCGCTTCTCGCCCGCACACACACATACACACGGGAGACGATGGAAAAATGATCGACACAATGCACGCGCGACGCACACATCCAAGCGCATTAACGTTTCGGGCGAGCCATTTGGGCCGGTCGGGCGGCGACGGAAATCAAGCGAACAATGGACTTTCACTCGCGGCCGTAAGTAAGCCTCTCCTCTCCGCGTTCAATTATGAAATAAAAAAAATAAAAGACACGCAGGAAGTGTTGTACCCGGTTCGATAATCGGCGACGCAGCGGCTAGTTGCTCTCTCTTGTAACGCTCTCAATCTGTGTACCTATACGCTGCTCTCCGGGGTATCAAAGATAAATCGACGGACAAATGGGACATGTATTCAAGAGTAGTCTATGTGCACAAAACGCAGCCACGTCTATTCAGAGGAGCGAGTGCTCGTACAGTGACGACACCTTCGTAGGATATGTGCCTATGGTAGCCCGGTACAGCGTCGTATAGTTGTGCACCAGCCGAGTATAGGTATATCTCCTTACATTACACGTCGAGTGCGCAATTCGAGGACGGCGAGACAACTGATTGAGCCGATTGCTCGGAGAGCGTATAATGGAAAAGCGCGATTGGAGGGAATGGGGTGTATATTGTATATATGTATAGTTAATATTTATACAGTAGCTGAGCAAAGGGATTGTATATATTTATACTCTTACGTCTGTGCCGCAGAGGAGCCAGAGGAGTCGTTTGTTTCAAGCGCGGGCAAATTAAATCGAGAAGGAAACGCGCCGATTGAAAATCAGTAGTAACAGCCGGGTTTGATGAGACAGCTGAGAATTTGTTGCTTTTGACATCTCTCTGTATATTTATACACAGTGTTATACGTTGCTTTGATGTTTATGTACACGTGTATATAAATATATGGTGAGCTCGAGCAAGTCACATTTGATTTTTGGGGCATTTGAATGATTTGTATACGATAATACGTACACCTTTGATGTACAACGCATATCACTGCCTAGCGCGTGAATCCAAGTTCTGCATGATATATTATATAGAGTCTCGAGGTTATAGATAAGCCGTGGCGACGAGTTGAAGAAGAAAAAAAGAAAGAGGAGCGAGCTCGGAGGGACACGAACAGGAGGGGGAGAATGGAAACAAGGACTGGGAATAAGTTTTAACGGAGAGGAGAAGCAGGAGATGGAGGAAAATGAACAAGTGCCGTGCAGTAGTTTGCGTTCCTCCAGTGTCGATGACCCGCGAGCTGAGCCTCTCTCGGCCCATCGCGCGAGCGGTGGCAGCAGCACTCGCCTTCCTTTCTTTCTTTCTCTCCTTACGTGATGGCGTACGCGTAACTCTTGGCCATCGCCTTTCGATGCGGTAAGCGCGGCCAGCCGGACCACCTCCTTTTTTGAGGATCGCGAAGATGCGGGCCAAAGGCGATGAGCGATGAATGTCACACCCCCCCCCCCTTGCCTTTCTCCCATCTCATCGTGCTTCGCGAGCGACCCATGGCGCTGTTTGTACTCGCACAGGTGTTTTCAGCTGTGATGGGAGCGCGCGTGCTGTCAATTATTTTAATTCAATTAAAACGGAGAGAGGTGGAAATTACAACTTCAAGGGAGATACTGCACGGTTGTTTTCGTCACGAAAATTACAATTCAACGTGTATATACGTATATTTTGTTACCGAACCCTTTGCAAGTATACGTACTCGAGGGCATGCATACTTAATGGTCCAATTTTGAAATTCCAATGGGTAAAAGCTATACTCTAATCGTTAAGAAGCGAAAAGCCGTTTGGCCGATTTTAAATGTTATTTGTAAATAGACGTACCGAAAGGGCCGTGGTGTTTAATTTCATCGGCGCAACAGTAACAGTTAAGCGGTTCTAACGAGAGAGTCCGATACTTGCATTCCTCGATCTGTATACACCTACTTACCGTCTCTCGCGCCGAGCTCCGTGGCAATACAGTCGCGATCCTATCGGGATGATTACACCGCAGTCCTCGAGCCAACGTATCGAGCTCTGATTTAATGTAATTACAGCGACACGCGTTTTCACCGTTTGCAACTTTTATAGCCGCAAATCACGAAACGTGCAAGCAAATAGACACACACACATACACGTACAAAGCGTGTCTTCTCTGCCTGTGCTCCCATCCGAGGAGATAATCTCTCGCGCGGTATACGAGTATCGGTTTTCCGCAGATGGCTGGCCAACTCCGGTTTGTTTTGCGAGCGCGTGCCCGTGTGCGATACTAAACTGAGCCAATCAAAGGGGTGAAGGTAACCTTCCGATACATGCATGAATGTGGAAAATTAAAAAATTTTCAGCAACTGCCTACACGTGGTATAGCATAGAAGTGGCTATTACATTACATTCGGCACCACTGCGTTGGATCGCAGCTTACGTGACGAGTCATCTGGCTGTGAGACGTGTAGCACGGCTGACGGGTTATTTTTTAGCCGATGGTCGTGCGTATTGTTACTTTATCATCAATGCACGAAGCTCACCTGTGATTAATTAAGTTCAATCAAATGAAAGTTCAGTTTTATTATCCACTATTTAAAAAAAAAAACAAAAAAAAAAAACAGTGGTTATTCACGTGTCAGTAGATCGGTTCAGCGTGTGGTCAGATACACGGTGTGTCGATGAACTCAATTATTTCAAACAAGAAGTTGAATGCACACACAAAAAATATGTTCAAGATGTGATAACACGCATTCATACGAGTCCCTCTTGTGAATGCAATGACTATATATATACTATTATGCAACACATGGGAGAACTGCGATGCTAATTTCCGGCTTTTTTTTTCTTTTGTTACAGAGGCTTTAGTGTCAGCGTCTGCGGTTGTCAGCACATCTTCAAGCCAGTCTCCGTACAGGCCATGTGGTAAGTCCCCTCCTCTCTTCTCTCGTATCGTTGCGTTACACGCGTTATTAATCTTTTTGCTGCAACTATACAGCACATATCGTATCGTATGTGTATATGGCTATCGAGTTTCGCGTTTGCAAGCGCGTATTGGTTACATATATATACGTACGAGACGACCATGACGCTCAAATGAGGGGGATATTGGTTTACATTGGATGTACAAATCCATCATTTTCTCTACGGATGATTTCAGATATACCTATGCTTACCCGCGGTATAATACATTGCATGAAATCCAAAGTAAAGTTTTATGTACATTGAAGTACGATGAGAATAATTATTTTTTTTTTTTTTTTTTCGCTTGATGCCCAAGTCGATAAAGGAACAAAAAAGCTCGTAAAATTTCATACGAGGCGATAAAACGAATATGTTGATTTTACGGCTAGAAAGTTGAGAATAGGTGTACGAGATAGGCGCGCGTTAACATGCAAACACTCGCTTTCGTGTAATCGGCGCGCTTCAAGTGTCGATATACGGTTGTTTCCACGTGGACGCCCTGAAAAAAAAAAAAAAAAAAAAAAAACCCTCGGTTCCTATTATCGGACGTAACGCACTCGCATGTACATAAATACACAGTGTGCCGGGGGGGTAAAAACAAACGATCGTGCACACAAATAAACACACGCGAAGCCCCGCATCACCTGACGTATATACATACAGCATAGTCGTGAAAATGTTAATTTCTTTCTTTTCCTCCCCATACACGGCAGCCTCACCGCAATCTCATTAAAGATCGGTCTCTCTCTCTCTCTCTCTTTGCCTCCGTCTGTCGAGCCGTTCTTGTTAATTGAACGCATCGATTGTAACAGCGCGTTGAGCGCATTATCGTCTCTGTAACGTGTTTTCCGCTCAGATGAGAGAGAGGCCGATTACGAGATGATTTAACGCGGAAAACACGTGTTCGTCCGGTGAAAAGAGAAAGTTCGCGAGCTCGTACGTACATGCACAAATATATGTGTGTGTATATATACTTAAACATAGTTACACGTCAGAGCACGTTTTCCGAGACACGGTATACTGCAGCGGCCGGGAAAATGCACATTATCGCGCGACGGCAACTATACAGCTTATAGGAAACGATTTGAGCGACGATGAATATAATTCGGTCGGGATACCGCGGGGAGTTGTCATCAAGTTACTTATCGCAGATTCCCTCGACTATATGTTAATTAACCCGTATGTATACGCTCTTACGGCGCGATAATCGTTATCTGTTTTCTCGAACGTACTTACGAGTATGTGACAAGATGTATTTTATCTAAGATCAAGCAACTTTTGAAGTTTAGCGGTAGTGGCCGATCCCTAACTCTCGATCCTTGCACTTATTTTTTCATGCAAAAGCAGTCGCAAAGAACAACGAGAGCAATATCTGTTTTGTTTCGAATCGGAAAACCGATCGATCAAACAGGTTGGAACAACCGAGCCAAGACACGTTTGACAAACGACTGATGTCGCGAAACCGTTGCCGCGCCGTTGGGGTCAGGGTGTTAGTATAATGCATTTGCTCTCGAGAACATATTATAGTCATGTGTAGATAACACTACAGCGATGCTTAGACGCGCACAATTATAACGCGGTGACGACGCGGGGGCGGGTAGCGGTACCTCGACTACCGCCCACGTCCACCTTTATGTATACGTACGTAGATACGTCGGTGTACAATGATAATCGGTCATGTGCAGCGTGTGGGTGGCGGCCCGTGCATACACCTACCTATACGTCTTTGATCGATGGGTATATTAACAACGCATATGGGTTTCCCGCCTGCGAGTGTCAAATAAAAATCTCTGTGTTGTATGTACCCTTGTGCGTTTTTTGCCCCCCTCCTCTCTGTACTCGATATACCGATCAGTCTTGTGCTTCGTTGCTGCGTAAGTATTACATCGTCTGTATGCGCGTATATATACGAGCTTCGTGCGCGGACAGCGATATTGTCATTTAAATTTTATTACCGCGATGTACACGCCCATCGGCGAGCTTTTCTCGGTACGTACGGTTGGGCGGGATGATCCATTGTCGGGGAGCTTGCTCGTTTGGGTACACCGAGTCGGTCCCCTCCTCTCTCGGTGTTAAAGGTTGCTGTATTTTTTTTAACACCATCGTCCAGCCAGTCGTCGCGGTGGTATTGATATTATTCCGACGCGGTGTACGAGCTTCTGAAATTGATAAAATGTGGGAGCAGAGAAACCAGTCGATCCAGCATATCGCACAAACGATCGGATGACCCGTTTTTACCATGCATTTATGCGAGTTCCGTTCAAACGAGGACAATTTTATGATTGCGTATACGCATATGAACGACCACACGGACGGATTCCTCTCTTTGACCTGGTTCGTCATTCGAGAGGTCATATGTATCCATATCCGTGCCAAAAAGTCCCTTTTTATGGTTGTACCCGCATGATGATACGTGTATGCACACCGGGTGAAAGTACACTTTTACAGACGTGTATACAGTTGTACAAAACGAGCGACAAAAGAGCTCGAATGATAAAAAAATATTCGGCCTGCCACATAAAACACACAGAGTCCACGAGTGTACGTGTGTATATATACGTGCATTGTTCTCTCTCTCTTTGGGAATGAATAGGGAAAGAGCGCATAATGTAAATGATGGCTCTTGGGTCTCGATTTTATCGGCGAACCGCCAACGAAAATGACGCCTTGTTTACCGTCGGCGGAATCACTTACGGGCGGCTCATATTGTTTGACGAGAATCGCGAAAGCCTACATTGCGCGGAGATATCTTTTGGTTTATATGTGTATACACAACAACCCCATGGGAAAGTGCCCAGGTTCGTTCAAGACTGGATCGTCATTCAAATCCAAAGTTTTTTTTTTCATCCATTGTATTTTATATTGCATCAATGCCATATCTTTGCACTCTTTATAGGGTGAAAATACTACTTCTTATCCTGTAAACGTAACAAAATCATGTTGAAAATGACTATGCCCTTAAGGATACATCTGTTGGCTTGATAAAAGAGTATTTAATTGCTCGATAACCTATGAATTTTAGGAATTTGAAGTGCATACCACAATTCAACATATGTCTGAGAGATGTGAAGCTTGACTGAATCGTGCATTTATTAAGTGTTTCGTGTTCATTAATAGCTTAAAAGCATAATCTTAAAGTACCCGATACTGACTAAAGTTTCCTCCATCATAACTGTAACTTTTACGAGCTTCATCTCGTACTGAGTGAAGGATCGTGCAGCTTTGTTTTTTTTTCATATGTAGTTGGAGGGAGTAAGTTTGTAATTCACGATGATGTACAATTAATGCTCGTACGTCACTTTTTAGAGAGACAAGCCATCACGATTATATATATTTTCTTTCAAAAAGTGTTTTATACTTTGCGCGTGGTACACGTGAATGAGGAGTCGATTTATTATAACGGAAAGCAGTGTCCTGTACCTTTTTCCCCCTTGCCTCCGTAGATGGAGATTATACCGCGGGCCCCCATCGAAGCCTTTAACGTCACCAAATCCCGTTTAAAGTCTCGCGAGCGCATCCCAATGATTCATGCATCGACGCTATACCTCCTTCCAGCGACGTTAACTCCGTAATGTGCGAAGTTGGGGAGGGGGACAGAAAAAAAAGCCCAAGAGAAAAATAACGGATAAAAAGTAAAATTAACAACTACCGCGAGCGTGGGCTGTATGTTGCACGTACGAGAGCCTTAATTGCACTGTCCTGAATCGCCGCGTGTCTCGCGACCCCCTTCCGGAATAAAGAGCCGGCAGACTTTTTTTTTTTTTTTTGTCGATCAGCTTTCAAAGGCTATTTTAGCTGTGCAAACAAATAAATAATTAGCTCGAATCCCGATGTCATTTGTTGTTTTTTTTTTTTTTTTATCTCCGTCGTTGTCGTCGTCGGCCATCCACCCACGAGACTACACATCCCATTGACCCTTTCGCGAATAAAGGAGGCTCTGCTCCTGTGTACAATATAATACACGTTCACGTTTCGCTGCGCTTCCATAAAGTACGTCCTCTTGACACTGTTTGATACTCGATTAAAGACACGTGTATACATATATACTTTCTTGTGGATGGTCAGTATATTATTATGTATAATCAACGCGATTAGCGCTGCGCCAATTTTTACTTCCCTAAAAGCCGAAGGGAATCAATTTGGTTTTTCCAAAAGAAGATGACAATCGCATAAAAGCACCAGACACGGTTTTGTATGCGAATTCTACTTGTATATGAGTTTATCAAATCAATAGTGCACGTCGCCGTACACGTGTACGTGCATCGGCCGAGGCGGAGCGAGGGTGTGAAATGAGCTTGGCCTCCTTTCAACTTCTTTCACGTATCCCTCGACTCGTGGGATCCACCCGCAACCTGTTATTTCCCTGGACGTCTACGGTTATTGTTGTTTGCTTTTCCCCAGGGAAAAAGACGATTGGGAGGCTCGTGGGAGATGATGGTGATAGGAAAATGGCCCTCGACTTTGTAGGTGTAAATTGGACGCTAATGCCGATGGCTTTTACCTATCAATACACCCTGATATTATAAAAAAAAATCGATGTGTTTCTCGGCGGAGAAATCCACAGCTCTATTATTAGCGACAGTCGCTCATGTTTTTCAAAAACCCGACTTGCAAATCATCTGAAACGAAATGTGAGTTGGCACGCGATTCTAAAGGCACTTCGCGAGCAAGGGGCAGCAGCAGGAATAGAGGCGGGTCTTGTTTTTGCAGCGTTGAACCGCTCGTTCTGGCAAAAGTAAACACCGGAACTAGCGATTTGTGGCCGACGAACAAAGAGAGCCCGAAGCTTTTCCCTGCCTCGCTTTCTTGATATTTTGACTCATTCGGGGAAAAACCGCGAGAGAAGCAGAGAAAAGCACTGCGTTCCACTTGCCCTTGCATAGTTTCAAACGGTGTATTTCGGCATCAAATCTCCTGCCAATAAGTATACGAAACGTCAAACTTTACATATTTTTGTATGA